TCTTGCTCCTCTGTTTCCACTGCTCTTATGCTTAATTCAAGTTCTCAGTACGTCTGTACTGGACAACTGGGCCAGCCTCTTTGGATGGGCTTCCTGCTCCACTCTTTTCCCACTTCAGTCCATGCCTTACTTGGCTACTGGAGTAACTTCCTAAATCACAGCTTTAAACAGATCCCTCACTCTCTTGCATTAAATTCCTCAGAGGCTCCCCATCAAAGTCTAAACTTATCCACATGATATTTAAGACCCTCTAATACCAATCCCCAAGCTCTCATTCCAGTGTTTTCTCTCACTAAGTCTGGTTCACGGACCAGAGTGTAAGGTAGAGAAGGAGCTCCTTGTATTTAATCTTGAAGCATTTATCATATTGTATTTTAATTCCTTGGGGACTGAAATACCCTCTAGACTACAACTTTCAAAAGGAGAGGGGTTAGGTTTTTACTATCAGCGTCTACCATAGTGCCAAGCACATGATTTGTATCTAATAAATTATTAGTTGGATGAATCAATGAGTGAACAAAGATATAATAAATCAGAGTTTCTGGTTTCAAATGGAATTTGCTTATCAGCACCTAATATAACCTTTGCCAACTTTCTAATTAAATGCCTATTTGGGATGCACGAAACAGTAAAAACTTATAATTCTAGCAGAAGCTAAGACAATTGGAAAATTCATTGCCTGAATTTGGAAGAAATTCATAGTAAATATAAGTCCTATTGGGCCTGATTGAGAATCACAGTTAGGGACAGTGCATGATCCATCAGCTCAAGTGGAGTGGGAATATAATGCCAAAGAAGGAAGCTAGACATTTTATTTCTCTCCAGATTTTTGTCCTCCAGCTTAGAGGTCCATGGTCTGGATTGTCCAAAATACCAAGAATCCATTCTTCAGTTACTTGGGTTCTATGTTTCAATACATAACCTCATTCTCCTCTTTCTGACCTCACCAACAGTTCTCTCTTTCTGCATTTATTTAGAAACTGCAAGTCTCATTTTAATAAATAAATTCCCAGAAAACAACAGTGCAGAAAGTTGTGTATATATGTGCATGATGGTGGAGGGTGGTTAGGCAAAGTCTGAGGGTAGATGGACTGCACTGGGGGAAGTATAGTTCCAACAGATATGATGCTTTTGTTGATGACACATCAGGAAGAGTTCTGGCAACAGTATATTCTGGGGACTATAGTTGCGTGTGTGAGCGTGTGTGTGTATGTGCACATTTCATCTATTCATAATGTCGACTAACCAGATGCTAGATGTGGGAGAAGATTCTAACACAATCCTACAAAGCTACACTAAAGGAATATTTTCTAGACACTGGAAATTGCACTAAGCTTTGCACATTATACTAACTTCCAGTTGAGCACCTGAGAAAAGAATTCCACCAAAATCTAAATGGACAGTCAGAGCAGTCAAGAGGAAGCTACACTGTTTCTTTTGGCGAACAGTAGATCTTGACAGATCTCCCTTCATTACAGGAAAAGTTCTAGAATAGGAAATAGACTAAAGTCTAGAGGAAGAACCTATCTCTGAAAACAATATACTTCAGGAACAAGAAGAGAATTTTAGAAAACTGTTTTGCATCTTTGTTAGGACACAAGAAAATGTGGCCTTTTTGAAGCAGGAACAGAAAATGATAAGGAAAAAAAAACAGATCTAAATGAAACAAAGGCAGAATTAAATAAAGAACCATTGTGGGGGAAATAAAAACACAAGGGCATATGGTGAACGTGATGGAAGCAAAGTTAGTGGTGAGTCGGGGAGCACTTAAAAATTACTGACATTACCAAGGAAGAAACAAGGGCAACTGGGACAGACCGATAAGCAAAGACATCATCGTCCACCGCTTCAGCTACCACGTCACCATATCCACAAAGCTTCGCCTAAACACCATTTGTTCAGTAATATGTTGAGCGCCTACTATGCAACAGGCTTTGTGCTACAGGCCAAGACAAAATGGTAGTCAAATGGACACAGTGCCTGCCATCTTCTGTGGTCCCTTCTGCACCCTTTCACTAATTCTCTAATGGCACATTTAACATCCCATTGTTGACATATCTGCCCCTCAACAGGAATGTGGATCCTCGAGGACAGGATGGTGACTTACTCCTCTCTGTATTCTGAGAATCTAGTACGAAAAATGTTTCCTGAATGAATAATTAAGTGAATGAATGAAATACAACCAGACTTACTAACAGCAGAGTTTCTTCTCCTTGGATTTCTTTGACAATAACAGCTCAGAATCAACTCCTCTAGAACCAGCTGGTGTTGATTTTCTGACCACACCTCCTAAGGCCTCTTCAGAGTCCAAAGTCCACTCTTCTTGCAGACGTGTAATTACCTGGTATTTCCTTTCAACATTTTTATTTCCTTCGTGGACGTTTATTCAAAGACAATTTCTAATTCTTACTTTAATAACCTTCTCCCTAATTTCAAAAGTAATGCAAGCCCATTTGTTTACAGAAAAGCATAAAGAAAAAAAATCAGAACTGTAAAAGGTACTTGCTGGCGTCCAGCCCACTCCATCTTGATCACAGCCACACACGCCTATCTTGAGCACTTGGGATGGTGCTTCACAGAGGGTAGACACTTAATAATAAATATTAGTCAAACGGATAGTCGTGAGCAAGTAATACGGTCTCCCGTGGACTCAGCTGCTCATGGGGCTGAGGGCAGCACTGCCCTGTACTTCACACACCCCTGAGTCACAGCTCCTGGGCGTGCAGGCATGGATCCGTGGCCCCTGGGAGCTAGTGCCTTCTCTCTGCTCCTGGGACCCCAGCACCTCCGGAACCTGCGACTATCATGCATCTTCTGCTGTTGGGGTCCCAGGCCCTTGGGTCTGTGGAGGCCACAAACCATCTCTGAGCTTAAGAGCCCTGGTTTTCTGGAATTCTTCATGCAGTGAGGCTGAACCCTGCAACCTTCAGGAAGGGAGAGAAAATTGCCCCCCTCCTCTTGTCATAAAGGGTGGAAAGCTGGTGGCCTGGTTTTGGTGAACACTTTTTATTCCTTTACTATTTTGGTTGATTTTTATATTTTGGCACCTGCTGTTTTCCATGCAGCAATAGAGGCCTGTGGGGCCGGCTCTCCCACCACCTGTTTACTGTGGCTACACAGGAGGCGCCTGCTCCTCTCCACTGTTAGGATGCAGCAGAAGAATAATTAGGAAGGAACCTAAGCTGGAATCCCTGCCCAGAGCAGGCCACAGCCTCCCTGGTCTTCCTATCTCTGCAGTGAATACAGCTGGTCCCCCCTAGTGCACCCGCGGGGGTAGGAGGGAGGGGGCCCCCTCCTAGGAGTTTCTGTGGGGTTGGCTCTCACTCCCACCCCTTGGGAGGACCGGGGTGGGGGCTGGCTGAGGCAGAGAGTGCACCTTCTGACTCAGCTGTCAGAGGACTGCAAGTGCTCAGCAGACCTCCCACCACAGGGAGGGACTTGTGGGATGGCGGGGGTAGCTGTCTCTGGGCCTCCCATTCCCAGTCCCCAAACACAGCTGTCCCCCTTTAATTGGCCCCTGGTATTGGGCCTCTGGGTGATATTTCACTAGCTCATAGGTTGCACAGCCAGGAGAAGGTAGAAAGCCACTGATTACCCAGAAAGGGCCTCGTGAGGTGACAGCACCTAGATGTGGTCTTCCCCTCCTCGGCTCTGCCATTCCCGGAACTCTACTTTGTCAGGACACCCAGAACAGTCAGTGCTGAGGCTCTGGATTGACTGAACCAAATTTACAGGGGAGCGATGCATTAATCAGAATGCCAGTGTATCTGTCACAACTGAGGGCTCTCCTTTTCAGAGACCAGGACCCTAGTGCCCAGCGTTGGGAGCCACCCTTGCCAATTCTTCCCAGTATCAAGGCAGCCAAGTGGACACATTAGTCATCAGAAGGTTGATGGGTGAAACTAGAGGCAAAGGCAAGGCAGGTGGACTCAGTCAATGATGTTTTATCCAGGCCACAGGGGCGCTGAGGGTTTGCGTCCTTGACAACAGACTCTTCTCTCCAGCCTAGAACAGCGCATTTGCCGATTCCAGGGCCTCTCTTCCTCTCCTGGATGGTGCCAACTAGAAGCCACCTGGAGCAGACAATGTTTTTGCTATTCCACGGCCAAGTCCCACTTCCTTCCCAAAGGAACCCCGACTTTGTCCTGGCACCACCCTCCTCCGCCTAGGTACAGGCTTCGGGGAGGAGAGTCCCATCCACAGCCCTGGAGGTGAATCTTCACTGCTCTCAACAGTAGCTCTTATCTTGTCTGACCCAACACCCTCTTTTTAAAACAAGTATTTTTATAATTTCCCCTTTACGAACTGAAAGGCAATTTTATAGGTAATCTATCCGTACACACAATTTCAAAAAATTCAATAACCATATTACAAAGTGTTATAGACTGAATGTTTGTGTCCCCGCCAATTTCATATTTTGAAATCCTAACCCCACAAACTGACGGTATCAGGAGGTGGGGCCTTTGGGAGGTGATTAGGTCATGAGGGTGGAGCCCTCATGAATGGACTAGTGCCCTTATTCTTTTTTTTTTTTTTGAGGAAGATTAGCCCTGAGCTAACATCCACCACCAATCCTCTTCTTTTTGCTGAGGAAGAGTGGCCCTGAGCTAACATCCATGCCCATCTTCGTCTGTTTTATATGTGGGACACCTGCCACAGCATGGTTTGCCAAGCGGTGCGTAGGTCCATGCTCAGGATCTGAACCGGCAAACCCCGGACCGCCAAAGTGGAGCATGGGAACTTAACCACTATGCCACTGGGCCAGCCCTAGCTAATGCCCTTTTGAAAGAGACCCTAGAGAGTTCTCTCCCCATCCCTGCCATGTGAGGATATAAAGGGAAAGTGGCCGTCTGTCCTCATCAGAACCTGATCATGCTGACACCCTGATCTTGGACTTCCAGCCTTCAGAACTGTGAGAAATAAACTTTTCTAGTTGATAAGCCACCCAACCTATGGTGTTTAGCTATAGCTGCCTGAACTAAGTAAGACACAAAGTAAAATTAAAAGGAAAATAATTTACAATGAAATAGCACGCATTTCAACATGCACATGCTCAGCAGGACTGCACTAGAATAAATGACAAAGTTGCAGGCGCTCGTGTCCATACCCAGCATCACCTTGAATGTGGCAGCTACCAGTGCAGGCCCACACAGGTTTCTTGCAATGGAGATTCAAATTCCATGAGTGGTGTTGACATTGCTGATGTGATTTTCCAGAATGGTGAACAACTCTTGGAAAAGTTCTAAACAAAACAGAGCACAGTGTTCCCTTGATGTGCTCAGTAGTTGCTTTCCTGGAAAATGTATTTTTAAAATGCTCTGGGTTTGTAGATAAAAGAGAGTTAGGTTTTAGCTCAAGTAATTTTAAACAGTTTCTTCACCTGTGCAAATGTTCAGTGGGGTGTTCAAAAATCATGCAGCTCACAAGAATGGGACTGTCACATGCATTGCAGGCTGTCCACCATCTCCAGCCGTTACATCTCTACCCAGTAATGGTCATAGCGGTCCTTGAGTCATTGTGACAATCGAGAATACTCCACTCCACATCATTCCGTATTGAGAACCATAGTTCCCAGCCAATGCTGATGCTCCCATCCCCCTTCCTGTGATGAAACACAAGGGGAATTCTACTGGAGGCCTTTGGCACAAGGTGTTTCTACCTGATAAAAAGAGACACTGGTGCATAAACATTACCTTTCTCTGCCCGTGGTTGTTATATGAGGATATGACGTCTGGGAGACTGCAACATTCTTGCTCTCTTCAGGAGAGCCAGCCTGAGGAAGAGGCCAGGACATGGAGCAGGGAAGAGCAGAAAGGTGGAAAGAGGCGGGTACCTGATGACTTAAAATGAGCCACTGAACCAGCCAGTCCGGGAACAGCCCCTGTCCCTTCCTCTTGATATGTTAAATAATCGTGCAAGCTGGTGGGGTTGGGGTTTTCTGTTATTTCAGCCAAAAGCTTCTTCCTCATAAAAGCATTCATATTCTGGCTGTTTGAAGACCCCCTTTCTGAGCTTCAGGCAGGGAACTGGCCTCCTCTCTTGGTTCTACCTTGAGGTGAGATGGTTAAGGAAGTTTCTTGGTTCACATTCCAGCTCTGCGCTTACAGGCTGTGTAAATTTTGGCAAGTCACTTTATCTTTTGATGTCTCATTTGCTCATCTGTAAAATGGAGACAGTAATAGTTTTCTACCTCTGAGGATGTTGTAAAGATTAAATTAAATGAGATCATATAAGTAAAGCACTTCAAACTCCCCAGCACATCCCTGATGCTCAATAGATGTTAGCTATGGTTACAGTCTTTGTTTTTTGGTTAGATTTCTTTTGGCCGCAAATGACAGAAATTCAATTCAATCTTAATTAAGCAAAAAAAGGAAAGTTATTGACACTGAGGGCACCCAGATGGGTTACAGAATTAGGAAGAGCTGCTGGAACCAAGGCCTCGGGGCCCTGATGTGGTGTCGCTAGACAAGCAGTTCACATCCTTGGCTGCCCGTAAGAATCCTCCAGGGGGCTTTGAAAGTCCCAAGGCCCAGGCTGCAACTCAGACCAATCAAATAAAAATTACTGGGGCTGGACCCAGACGTCAGTTGTTTTTAAAGCTCCCCAGTGACTCCAACGTGCAGCCAAGGCTGAGAACCACTGCCATAGACCTCTCTTCATTGGTCTCTTGACTTTTCTTCTCTCTGCTTGGTTTCATTCTACAGAAAGCTATTCCTGCCACAGCTTCAGATGTCCAACAATATCAACAGAAAAGATAAAAATATCACAAAACTTCTTCCTCCCAGCATCCAAATTTCAGTGGATTTTCTCTGCTTGAGCCTCACGCATCCTTCTTATTCCTATCCTTGATGCTGAGGGCTGGGGCCAGGAATCTTGATTGACAACTCCCCAGAAACACCTGGAAGAAGACAGAGCAATTTCCTCAAAGATCTAAGAGGATTGAACAAAAATCTGTATACATCATCTAATTAAATAAAACTAATTACACTTTATCTTGGTTGATGTAATTTATTGTCAGCATGAATTGCTTCAGCCATTTTTCCGCAACCCATAAGATTTGAGCTTGATGGTGTCTTGTCTTCACTTCTGAACTGCTGCAAGTGACGAGGTTATGGCTTCGCTGGGACAATGCCTCGGTCTGTCTCTGGGCTGTGTGGACGGAACTGCACGTTCTGGATCCTCTGGAGATGCGTGTTCGCTGACTTCTTGTCACGCCCACAGATGACTGGTCTCGTATGTTACCTTCTTGATTTCTCTCTATTTCACTCCAGGATAATCTTCCAACAATGCTGTCACCCTTAGGAACTGAACTAAATATTTCAATTCAAACTGAAATCCACATTTCTATTTCCTTGACCTTTTGACCTCCATCATCTCTGTTACTTATCTTCAGGTTGGAGGAGCTTTTGCAGGAATGCATTTTTTTTTTTAACCAAAAGATGATTGGAATTACACATGGAATCTTCAATTGTGCTTGTTCCGAATAGCACTTATCAAATTCCCTTTTAAAACTGGATATTATTGAGAACACTAAAACACACTCTCAACCTTCCAGAAAGTGAGGAATTTTTTAATCAGTTTGGATGAAGCGTATTTGAAGAGACAACTCACAGTAAATACCTGTGCATAATTAACATAATTAACTGCATAATCAACAGCTCCTCCCGTGCATGTCTGCATCCCCAAGGATCTCCTTCTCTGTGGTCTATTTCTGTGGCCTCGTCATTGCACATTTTCTGAACTCGGCTTACTTTAGGTTTCACAAGGTTCTGGTTACACTTGGAGCAGTTAATTTTGATCTCTGTGTTTCCCAACTAGCTAAAGTCATTGCTGCAACATGACAGATGAATGATGGGGGAAATGGTTGAAGGGTGGCTGCTGGGGGAGGGATGGACAGAAGGCCTTTGCCATTGTGCGTGCTGCCCTGGGGGCTTTTTTTTTTCTCCTCAGGAAGATTTTGCCCTGAGCTAACATCTATTGCAAATCCTCCTCTTTTTTTGGTTGAGGAAGATTAGCCCTGAGCTAACATCTGTGCCAGTCTTCCTCTACTTTATATGTGGGATGCCTCCACAGTGTGGCTGATGAGTGCATTAGGTCCACACCCGGGATCCAAACCCACGAACCACCGCCCAAGTGAAGCACGTGGAACTTGAACCACTCTGCCATGGGCCGGCCCCTTTGGGCTTTCATTGGAAAGGAAATCTTGATCTTTTGGTTACTAAATAGATACCTTACAGGCCTCTTCCTGTTTTGCTCACACTTTCATAGTTTCAGATAAAGTGAAAAGGGCCCCCAAAGGGGCTTTGCTCCACCGCTAGATGGAGGAACATCTTCACTCGTGCAGCCCCGGATACCGTGCCCAGGGCACAGGAAAAGGATGCTGCCACCCCCCAGTGTCCCTCCCACCCCCTGCCATCCCCCCACCCAGGCTGGGCAGGAAGCCACCTGCCGCAGCAACGGTCACTGCTGGGGTCACACTCATCTTGTGCTTTACGTTTTGAGATCTGATTCCTGCGTGAAGCCACAGCATCCTCTTTGGTGTTCTTTGAAAGTTCTATGTTTTTCCAGCTGTTTGACAAACCTTTGTTGGCCAGAGCAGCGTTGCACATAGCTTTCCAAAATTACCGAGGCCATCGACATTCTTTCCACCCACAGTATCCGCACTGACCCCTTCACCATTTGTTAATGCAAATCCTTCCCACTTCTTACCAGTTTGTCTCACTTCCGCAAATCAAAAAAGCCATGTGCGTCACTCCCAGCCCCTGAGTAGCACTAGAAAGGGGTCACCGAGCACAGCCAGGATTAGTTTCCTCTTCTTGAATTTCATATAAATAGGCTCACACGGTATGTCTTTTTTGTGTGTGGCTTCTTTTGGTCAACACATCATCTGTGAGATTCATCCACTGTATGAATAGACCACAATTTGTCCATTCCCTTGTTGATAGATATTTGGGTTATTTCCAGTTTCTGACTGTTGTGAATAAGGCTGCTATGAACATTCTTGTACAAGGTGTTTTCTGGATACATGTACTCATTTCTCTTGTGTATATACCTCGGAGCAGAATTGCTGGTCCTTGTAAGTGTATGCTTAGCTTTATTAGAAACCGCCAGCTTTCCAAAGCGGTTGTTTTAATATGTAAATGAAAATTGGAAATATAATCACAACAACCTTAAGTGTTCATCATTCAGTTCACAATTGCTTATTGAGCACCTAATGTGTGCCAAGCACTGTTCTAGGTGCTGGGATATAATAATGAGTAGACAGAAAATGTCCCTGTCATTGAGACACGTTCTCATAGGGGTGACAGGCAATAAAGCCTAAATGGGCAAAGAAGGTAATTTCAGGTGCTGATGTGTGCTATGAAAAAGAGTATTGTGATGGAGCGCTGGGGAGGACCTGCTGCTGTGGTCGGGGAAGGGCCCTTAGAGAAGCTGAATCTGAGTCAACACCTGAACGATGACGAGGGCGTGGCTATGCAGAACTTGGGGAAGAGTGCTATAAGCAGGGGAACAGCAAGTACAACTGCCCTGGGACAGAGAAAAAAAGTCCTTGAGGGTGGCACACAGTCATTCATTCATTCAACAAATAAATATATATTGAGCTTCTGCTATGTGTCAGCACTGTTTTAGGGTCCGGGGGTCCAGCAGTGAACAAAATAGACAAGTAGCCTGCTGTCCTAGAACAAGAAGGAAAGAGCAGGTGGGAGCGTTTGGAGGATGAAGCAGAGGTCAGGTTAAGTCAGACCATGCAGATCATGGAAAGGAGTTTGGATTTTTCCCTAGGGCAGTGGGAAGTCACAGAAGGGTTTTAAGCAGAGATGTGAAAATGGTCTTACTTATGGGTATGGAGCAAGGGTGGAGTAAGGAACACTCATTAGAAGGCCGTGTAGTGATCCAAGCCAGACTCTGGGCTAGGACTACAGCTGCGGCCGTGGAAACCGTGAAAATGACCAGCATGCAGGATATTGGAGGTTGAGCCAATGGGACTCAATGAAAGATTGGTTATGGGGTGAGCAAAAAGAGGAATAGAGTTCAGACTCTAGGTTCTTAGCCTGAGCAACTGGGTGGACGGTGGACCATGCACTGAGATCAGGAGTACTGGGGGAGGAAAAACAAGAGTTCATTTTGCTAAATTTGAGATGCAAATAAACGTTGAAGTGGCGAAGCTCAAGAAGCAGGAGTTCAGAGGAGAGAGCCAGCCTGGAGATTTGACTTTGAGAATCATCAGCATGTAGACGACTTTTAAAGCTGCAAGGCTGAATGGGATCATCTAGGAGGAAAGCATAGGCCAAGAAGGGGGCCGGGGAAGAGTCTTGGAATATACTGAGAAGGTTAGGCTCCATTTTACAGATGAGGAGACTGAGCGAAGCTAAGGTAATTGCCCAAGGTCCTATGGCAGGACAAAGTTGGTCTTATTTCAGGGTCTGCATACTTACCCACTTCACTTTAATGCCTAAGGTTTCTCAGCTCTGCCGCTTAGACGCCAGGTGACCTCAAGTGAATTACTTACCCTTTTGAGCCTCAGCTTCCTTGTCTGTAAAGTAGGGATCACAATAATTATACATAGCACATAGGGCAGTGTGAGTATAAAATAAACTAATATAACTCAAGTGCTTAGAACAATGCTTGGCATACAGTGGTGTTAGCTAATACTTATGTAAGCCACAAGCTAAGAAAGTGCAGGCCTCAGAGGTGAGAGGAGAGAAGTTCCAAATCTGAGTAGCCACAGCCAGGGAGACGTCAACCTGGATCTGAGGAGGGTAGTTGGGCCTCAGGCAGGAACTCTTTATATGTGTTCCAACAATTGGTCCCAGGGCGTGGAGGAACCTTGAACCTCTCCCTCCTGCAAGTGAGATATGGCACTTTGAGATCAGGCCAGGAACTGGGTGAAGGCAGGGCTGCAGGCAGAGGTCACAGTGGCTTATGCTAGGAGCAAAACCAAGCAAGGCATGGCCTTAGCCCCAGACATGTATGCCCTGCTTAATGCCTTCTATTCTGCTCTTGCTGGCATCTGTTGTTTAATCATGTGTGGTATAGTAAGAAATGTATTTGGTCTTTGTCCCCAGTTCCTGGCACAAAGATCTTAAAACCCTTGGAATTTCCTGAGTGACAGCCTATCTTTTGTCATTCAAAATGAGCTCCTTTTGAGTACATCTGAGTTTTTGCTAATGAGGTGACTTAGCCTGGGTCCGCTAGCTAGCCTCAAGATGGAGCTGATCACCAGAAAGACCAAGTGAATAGAATGTTGGAACTTTCAGCCCCACCCGCTGACCTCTGGGAAGGAAAAGGGGAGTGTTGGTGGTTGCAGATTAAGCTCTACAAAAACTCTTGAGCAACAAGATTTGATGACTTCTAGGTTGCTGAACAAACCTGTGTGCTAGGAGGGTGGCGCACACCGGTGCCATGGGGACAGAAGCTCTTGCGCTCCAGACCCGTCCAGACCTCACCCTATGTACCTCTTATCTATCTGGTCATCTGTATCCTTTATAATATCCTTTCTAATAAACTGGTAAATGTTTCTCTGAGTTCTGTGAGCCTCTCTAGCGAATTAATCAAACCTGAGGAAGGCATTGTAGGAACTCCTGATTTACAGCCAGTCAGTCAGATGCACAAGTGACAACCTGGACTTGCAATTGGCAACTGAAGTTGGGGCAGTCGTGTGAGACTAAACCTTAACCTGTGGGATCTGATGCTATCTCCAGGTAGATAGTGTCAGAGCTAAGTTGAATTGTAGGACACCCAGTCAGCGTCCCCTGGGAACTGGAGAACTGCTTGGTAGGGTTGGAAAATGCACATCTGACCATGACTCAGGAGTCCTCCAATTAGCACCTATGCTATAAAAGCTGAATCTGAAGGCAAGAGAAGAGAAAGACCTAGTGAATGTTAAATGTATTTTATGTACATGGGGCAAACACCTATGTGTTTGTGAGCACAGTGTCCCTTGCCCCCTACTTTTGTAATGGCATCCCCTCCCTTCCTTGGAGTTACTGCC